GTTCTGATAGAATTGGATGGAGAGGGGCTGGGATTTTTGTTTTGTTGGCGAGAGAATGTAGAAAATTGAAGTTTTGGATTTCATTTTGTTTGCAACCTAAAATAACTTGCATTCGTGCTTTGATTGAGGAGACTGTGATCTCAATTTCATTTCTTTAGGTGATGATCGAGATAGAGTGCTAATCGAAATATTAATAATGTTTTGTTTATCCTTGAATGTTCTTAATCTCAATAATATAATGTAAGAATATGGTTGTGCTTGTTACTCGATGTGGATCCCTTATTGTGATCAAAATTTGCAGCTTCAAGCGGTTTTATTACTGTTGGGGGGATGCGAATTGGCTTCGAGTCCCCATGAATTGACGCCTCTAAACCAGAGGGTAAGACAATTACCTCTTAGCATTTTGGAGGTATTTCTGTTTCTTGTATGTTTTAATTTATCTGGATTTCGTATAGGGTGTTATGGATTTTCCAGCTAGATGTAGCCAACCACAGAGAGCGGCCTCATTAAGTAGATTTCGTCAGAAAAGAAAAGATAGATGCTTTGATAAGAAAGTCAGATATAGTGTCCGCCAAGAGGTTGCACTTAGGTGCGTATCTTATTTCCCCAAATGATTTTTGGATGATTATATCATTACTGCCTTGCCATATGGTATCAACTGAAAATGGTCGGAGAAGCATTCCATTCATTTTCCTCTTTCTCTGTTTTGGTAATCCCTGTTTCATTTTGTATCCAAAAAAGCTGTAGCATTAGCACCTGATGCAGAGAGGCATAACTGAGAACCCAAATTTTCAACAATTATAACCGTTTATTTACATACATGAACATGGCTATTCATTTTCACCTTTAAATTCCTTATCTATTCAGATCATGGATGGTAGGTTGTGGTTGCCAATGCTATGGCCAGGAATTTTTCATTGTCTTCATTCACTGCATGAGAGATTGCCTAGCCTTTGTCAATGATCTTTTGATATTTGGTAAGTTGCTTATGTCAACTTATATGATTGTACCAGGATGCAGCGTAACAAGGGTCAATTTACTTCTTCTAGAAAACCTGATGGCTCATATAATTGGGGTAGCAGTCAGGATTCAGGACAAGATGATGGCATTGCAGAAACATCGTGAGTTTTCCTATCATATTGCATAGTGAATTGCTTTACAAACCACATATTGCTCCATTTTCATTTATGCGTAATTTCTTATGACGTGTCATTTACCTGCTTGTCCAGATGCACAAATTGTGGTATTAGTTCAAAGTCCACTCCAATGATGAGACGCGGTCCATCTGGTCCAAGGTCTCTGTGCAATGCCTGTGGGCTCTTTTGGGCAAATAAGGTCTGCATCTCTACTGCAATATGATGTCTACTAGATCTTTATTTTGCCAATTTTATTCTATTTGCTTGAAATACATGTATCCAAATTCTTGTTGTTGTAGTTGATTCAATTGTAATGTTTAACCATGACTGTAAATTTGTTGAAAGGGTTTATTTGCTGAAGATGTGCCATTTTTGTTTTTTTGGTCAGTGCCACATTGAACAAAGGGGTTGAGCTATGGTTTTAAGATTTTCTTTGATTTTTTCAGAAAATTTAAAACTGCTAAGATAGAAGCAAAGCTGGAAATATATGTAATTAAAATTTAAAACTGGGAAATTAAAATAAAAAGAAAAATATATGCATGCAATACCTTCACCTCTTTCTAAGATCTTCTCGCTAGCAAATTTTGAAGCTTCCCTATTTACTGAATGTAACTTTAAGATGCGAAAATTCTATATCCTATCCTGGACACTACTTCAAATTGGGGTTGACTTTTTCTTATCTGGTTAATTCTTTGGAATTGCAAAAATGTTTTATTCTGAGTATGAGTTGAATATATACAAGTGTTTATCATGCATTCATTCTACAATATTGTATGAGGATGTGGAAGCTCTGCGACAATGGATGAGGGAACAGGGAATGCTCAGGTCCCAAAGATTCCTTGCCAGGTCAAATTCATGTGTTTATATCTCTGGATTTTTTTCCTTCCTTTGTGTGTTAGCATTTCCTGTGAATCTGCTTCAATTTTAAGTCCTGACCCGTATTTATCCATTCTACTGTGTTAAAATACAAGCATCCTTCTCGGTAGGTAAAGTTTTTAGCATGTCTGATGAGTATTGTGATCTGCAGGGTACTTTGAGGGATCTTTCCAAGAAAAGTCAGGATCATTCCTTGATTCCCATTGAGCAGGTGTGTTTTCTGAGTATGCAAACAGTCCATTTTCTTGATCCTTGGCTCTGTCTTAACTTCCATGTATTTGGATGAATATAATTTGGCTTGGTTTTCAAATTTTGCTGATTTAGGGTGACAGTGAAGCAAATGACTTGGACTGTGGGACTTCCATCCATACAAATGACAATCTAGTTCCTTTCCCGAATGGTGGTAACTCAGCTTTAATAGCTGAGCATTGAAAAACTCTCTATAGAATAGATATTTCAGCTAGGCTCTTCTAGGAACTTCTTTCCTTTCCAACTTGTCTCATATGTACAGAAATTTTATTTAATACTTTGGTCAATAGAAGAGGCTTCCTTCTATTCTTCAGTAGCTTGCATGAGAGATTACCTATTGAGATCGACAGGAACATGCCTAGAATGTATCCATAAAAGCTTCATTATTTATCCCAGTAATTTTATATCTGATATATATAATGACCATGGATCTTTCCAGTCACAGTTGATCCAGAATTTTACTCTTTTAGTGCTCTTTCATTTTCTCAACCGGATGGTACTTCAGCTTCTACATGAATGCGTGGTTAATCTGTAGTCTTCATACAACATCAACCATGTATGTGACCATTTAGAGCTTATATTCCGCATGCAAAGTCGGAGTCGTGGTTCTACAGGTATGCCCCTGCCTGGTATATCTTTCTCTATGGATGGCATTGCAATTGAGCACACACAACTGCTATTTTGTTAAGCATCATAATAATCTCACATTATGTATGAATTTCCCATTATCAGCATTTATAAAAGTTACAAAAAAACTAGAGTGGAATAAGAAAAAAAAAACCATGCGTTATTTCCTAGAGATTTATTTTTATTTTTATTTTTGTGCCCTTTAAATATTTATATTGGAAGACTACAAATAGAAGAGCCTGATGTTGAAAAAAAAGAAAAAAAGTACAAGAGCCTGATGCGAACTGGATTCTTTTTGCTTTTTGGAACTTGTTATGACAACTTCAGTCCTCACATGAGTCGAGACTGCAGCCTACAGGTACCCTCTCATTGTTGCTTGTTTTATGTCTTGTTTTATGTCATCTTTTCTCCCTTTAACTTTGATGTAGTTTTGACTTTTTTGAGGCACATGGTAGTAATAATATTCTTTGATATGATTAGTGTTTGACCTTGAGAGGATTGACTTTCACGCCTTGATTCACTGCTTCCTCATCTCTCATGTATTTTCCCCCATACCCCTCCGGCCGGCAGCCATGGAATACATGCTTGTATGATACAGGTTAATGTTTAATTAGAGCTACCACTTTTTAAGTAGCTTAGACGGTTGAATTTGTTTTGAATATTGAAGTTGGGCATCATTCCACTTAAGCCCAAGAATGAGCCTCCATTTTATGCATCTGGAAGCACTTTCTCAACAGCATAAGCAATGTGAGTAAAAAGAATCATAATGCATAGGAACACAGCTATGTATCAAATTTATTCCTAGTGTTGAGCTGCCAAATGAAATCTAGTCAATCACTGCCTGCTAAATCACATACTTTGCATAATGTCTCCAGGAAAAGCTTGACCAAATTCTTCAATAAAGTTTCATATTAAAAAATTTCTCCCCTCACCCCACCTCACCCCGTGCCTCTAATCTAGATGCATATCAATTTACACATAAAATTTGGTAAAAATAATCAATTAAAATTGCTAGAATGTCATGCATCAAGCCAATCTCTTCTTCTTCTTCTTTTTTTAATGGAAACAAGCACCACCATGTGCCACTAAAAAGTAGTAATACTATTAGTATTATCTCCAAACCTTGCCTTGCCAATCCCCACTGCGCGTGTCAACTCAACAATCAAGTCCAGCCGTCCGCTCAAACCCGTCGTCACTAGGGTCCATTTCTCAAATCTACCTATATTATATCCCGAAAAAATGACGTACAAAAACAAAATGTTTCCTACACAACATTATTATAGATACTGTAACGTGACAGATGACCCAGAGCATCATTTTGCACAATATTTTGCAAGAAACGTGCGTGTATCATATCAACTCTGATCACATTATTTATTATGACCAAACATCCCACGTGAACCATCAATTTCTATAGACCCCACCCTAACAACCCAAGCAGCTAAGCTCACCCTTAATACCATTACACTCCTCCCCGCACCAGACCCTCCCCCCCACAATTGGTAATAATAATTCCCTTGACAGACAGAGGCGAGACATTCCCTTTCCATCAAAATGAAAATGAATAAATTCATTTGTTACCTTCCCAACTTATTTTTTTTCCTTACTTTTTAGTCCAAAAACTTTGTTGTAAGAGTTTGCATTTTTACTGCTTAAATTATATTAAAATGTAAAATTAAGTTATTGGACAAGGAATCTTTTGTGTGTACACTGTATAATTTTGATACCAGTTAAATTGTTTAATAATAATTTTTTTAATAATTTTAAACTATTAAAAACTCAAAATAAATTTGTAGTGTAAACAATAATTAAATTGTTTGAAACTAAAATTAACACAATGACACACATCACCTCACACGCATGTGAATGCATCCTTTGCCCATTGTCCTTTCTAATCCAACATCAACGGTTGGTAGGAAAATAAATGAGGTTTTTATTTTGCAAGGTACGTTTTTATTTTATTTTTTTTAATTTTTATTTTAAGTCCATTAATTGATGTGAACTTCCGTATTAGCTTGAAAAGTTGAAGAGACTAAAATCTAATGGATCAAAAAAAGTGAATTAGATGATTTTCGGTATTAACTTCAATATCAATGAGTGAGTTGTGTAATTTAACTT